GTTATAATTAATCGGGGATCCCTTTAAGGTGTTCATTGAGAAACTCTGGAGGTTAGATTCTAAGCTGTGCTGTTGGACCTCCTCTGTTTGATGTTGATGTTTCCCATTTTCTCTGAAATCTTGCATTTTCACGGTCTGAAATACAAACATCACTGTCCTCAAAACAGTGTCTTTTCTCCTTCAGATGTTAAATGGGCTGCTGAGTGTTGATTTAAAGAACTGGCTCTCTTCCACTGTGTGTTTGGTTGTTCAGTTGTATAAAGGTCAGAACAACTGAACCGAACCAGCTTCTGTTTGGACATTTCATCCCTTAATTTAACAAGTTAGTCTGAGTTTCTGTCTTGAGATTAAAGTTCATCTAGATGTTGTGTTGGAGCCTGTTTTTATTTTCTGTCTTGTTTGATGCTGTGGAGATAGTTATTTTACCCTCGCTGCTGATTTAAAAAAAGAAAAGCCCCTAATTTGGGTATCCACAAGTCTGGAATGTTGTCATGTTTGATCTTTTTCTTCAGTCTTTGTGGGGATCTTCTTGACCCGATGGTGTAAGTCACTGATGACAGACAGTTTGTGTTCCAGTGGGTGATGGGAGTCAAAGTGTCAAMCCTAATTGGGCTGTGTGTGTCAGTTTTCTATATACACAGGGTGAGTCAAAAGTCTCCAGACGCCCTTTTATTTCAGAAACAAACGGGAAAGTTAAACCTCTGAATAGCCCAGAAAGTAATGGGTGAGGAGGTCCAACTTCAAGACCATGTCGTTATCTTGAAAACTGCCATATTGGATCAAGGGCACATTTTTTTCATTGGGAAGTGGGGTCATGTAGCACATCAAAACCCAGAACTGTCTCAGAAATGGATCACAGCAATCAAATGTGCAATATCTCTTGTGGTTCAAAGGTTATCRACAGAAAGTTCAAATATTTTGYTGTACGTAGCAGGTACCAGAAGACAGAACTGACAGACACTCTTGAACATACCAAAGAAAGTTGCTGTGCATCGTAGGCAACATTTCCATCAAATTTCTTTGTTGGTAACTTTTGAACCACAAGAGACATTGCACTTTTGATTGCAGCAATCGATCTTATGAGACAATTCTGGTCTTTTTCAATATGCTACATGACCCCCATGCCATTGGAAAAACTTACCCTTGATCCAATATGGCGGCTTTGAAGATGGCGGTCTTGTTCTGGACATAGCCTAATGATAGCTCCCCTCACTCATTACTTGCTGSGGTATTCAGATATAAAATAACAGGGTGTCCTGAGACTTTTGACTCACACTGTATGTTAATTTAAAGCATTTTTCTTTGTTATTTTAGAGAACAATCCAAGAAGGGCAGCTTGTTGTTTTCCACACCTTCTCTGGTGAATGGGATGTTCTTGTGTTTGATAAGGTCTACAGCTTAAAGCTTCGAGATGCCACAATTTTCAGTTTGAATTGAGAAAATGTTTTCCAGTTGTCTGAATACTAGAACGAYCGTCCCCTGGCCTGGATGGCTGAGAACCTTCACCAACACACAGCTAGCCGTTAGCTCGTCAAGCTGGTCAGAATTAAACTCTTGTTCTCCAAAACTAAGAAACCTTTCCACAGAACCCCACTTTTAAAGATCTGAACTCTCTTCCTTTCACCACATTACTAATGTGAAACCACTCATTTCTCACAAGGTCACTCTTGACAGACATTAAAGCACCTTAAACCATCTTTTCCAAGTTACTTATAATCATACAGCTTCACACACTTTGACMCCCGTCGAATAGATTTTTTCACGGTGTATCATTACAGAAATGTGCTGCAGGAGGAAACTGGCAGAGTTTCTGTGCRAAAATGAAGAATTTGTATTCTCTCTGAGCTGCAGGGCAGATTTAAAAGGTGCTCATTAAAACAGGAGGTCAAAGACTCTCGCATACGAGCACAAAATAACCTTTTCTTTTTCCAAACACGTCCTTGTGTTTAAATACACGAACACAAGAGGCACCTGCAAGAAAAGGCAGAGCACATTTCTAATGTCAGGGTATGGYTCCACATTAAGATTCAGGCCGGGGAGCATCTGAGGGGAAACACAGCAGCACAGAGATTAAAGCCTGATCTGTTATTTTAGAGGGGGAGGAGAGATAAAGACCTGAGAGGGTTTATCAAAGAAAAAAAAAAGAATAAAGCTAAAGATAATCAAAACCTCATCTTGTAGTCTGATTTAAATCAAACCAATTAGTCCGAATCTGTAAAGAACAGAAGCAAAAGAAAGAGAGGTGAGTTCAGTGGTTTGTTTTTGATTTAATTTAAGAGGACAAATTAAATTTGAAAACAGGAAGAAAAAAACATTTTCTTTTTGTGAATTATAAAATGATAAATGGCTTCTTTGGAACTGGAATTTTATCCTACAGTTTTATATAATTACTGGAGGGAAAAAATCTGCACAAAAAAGTTTTTATTCTTTTTAAACCATTTTATGATTTTTAGACAATTAACTCAGTAAAAACCTGATTTAATTTCAGTATTCTGAAACACAGAAGTCAGACAGAGCATCAGCTCCACCTGGTGAAAAAGAGCAGAACTATTTTCACAATTAAAGTTCCTACTTCCTATTCTTGTCTTATTATTTAAAGTTATCAGCTGCAATCAGAGCTCTTAGAATAAATCAAATAAAAACATAATGTTCAGGATTCACTTGCACTTACAGAGAATCAACTCCTCTTTATAGATTTTTAATGTCTTTTTTTCCCCAGAAAGATTTATTTTATAATCCTCTTGAAATAACATCCATCCCTTCTGTCACACCTCTCTGAAAACGACACATCAGAAACAAAGACAGACAGACAGTGGATAAATATTTGTCATCTTACACATACTTTGATACTATAAGAGGTTTAGAAATTATAGCTTCTTACTTTAATATGTAAAACCTTTTTTATTAGAAGTTAAATTGCAACTGACTACCAGTAATTATTATAACCAGAAGAATATTTAATGACCTTCATCAGAATACTTTGCAAATAAAAACTTTTAGAAGTTTGTTTTTAATTTTATTTTATGTATTTTTTCCCCGGACAGATTGTCCTCAGGATTGTTTTCAYTCCCTAATCTAAACCCAACGCACACTTCTAGTTCTAGATTGGACTGACTCGAAGCAGCAGACAGTATATTTATGTCCATGCATCCATTGTCCTGATCCACTTCTCCATTCAGGATTGCAGGGAGATGGTGTCTGTCTCCAGCAGACATTAGAAGAGAGGTGAGGGAAACTCTATGGACAGGTCACAAGTCCATCGCATCACAAGGACACAGAGACAAATGAGACAGACCACTGTTCAAACAATGACTCACATGGATCATTTTTTTATTAGCCTAAAATGTATGATTTTGTTCTGTGGGAGGAAACTAGAGCACCAGGAGAAAAGCCATGTTTTGTTTTACACACAAAAAAGTATTAAACCCAAACCATAGGTTTTTCTTACAAGTAATGTTCTTCAGGTTCAGTCCAATAACATCGACTCCAGATCTGACCACACCCTAAAATGTTTTTTGTCTAAGTTTGGGGTTTGGTTAGGTTGGGGTTAGGCACCATGCTGGGTGGTATGGTGGCTTGGTAGAGCTGTTTTCTCTCAGCTAGGTTACCAGATCGAATGGACGGGGTTTTTTCTGCATAGAGTTTGCATGTTCTCTCATGGGTTTCCTCCCACAGACCAMAACATGAATGTTAGGCTAACTGGACTTAGACTAAATTGTCCCTAAGTGTGAGTGAGAGGATGAATGGTTGTTTGTCTCTAAGTCAGTGGTTCCCAAACTTTTTATCTTCTGACCCACAAAATATCCATGGCAAAAACTTGTGACCCCAAAAATTATTGGTCAACTTTGTCAATAACCCTAAAAACACAGGCTTTTTGACAATCTAAACAGCTTATACACAAATAAATAC